TGACCACGGAAAGTAGCTTGTCGAAAGTCGAATTTACCGCCGACGGTCGCAACAGCTTCGCGGCGAGGTCCAGCAAGCAACATATTGAGCTCGACACCGAAATCAACCTTCTCGTTGATCGTCTGAAAGTAGGAGGCTTGAATAGCACCCATACCTTGCAGCTGAGCCGTAGCGATATAGTTGGGTCCAGAGTATTTGGCAACGTACGACATGGCGGTTTCCTCCATCTCGGGAGTAGGACGTTGGATGACAAGTTCGGTACCGAGAGCAAGTCGAGGCGTGACAGATTGCAAATATGAAGCAATGAGCAGGCCGGTGTTGTCTATGGGTGAAGGATTCATTGCCTTGATGTTTGCAGAAAAGTCGCTGCCGACATAGTCTTGCTCTACTTGAACCATGGAGTGGCCAGGTGTGTGTGTCAATTGGGTAACAATCTTGGTCGCCATGCGCGGTGTCCACATGTGTTTAAATGTGGCGTTCATGTTTGTATCGGAATCCATGGTTCCATTGAGTTGTGTCTATGCAGATCGGGTCAACAGCCGGTTGTGTGCGTTCTTTTCGCAGGTCACGTACCCTTTCGGTGATGTATCCGGCCATGAAATTGTACATGGGTGGAGCAACTTGAGATCCCAACGAAAACTGATGCTGTACATGGAAGTTGGGAGACAGCTCCTTTATTATGTTGGCTTGTGCTCCATCGAAAGCGTAGTTTGTCAGAAATGTGTCTAATGAGAAGACATGAGACCAGATCTCGAGATTGCATCCATGACTCACTCTTGACTTCGCCGTGCAACATTTCAAACTTGCCGGGATTCGGCAGTCCGAGATACTCCCGGTACTCATTGAATCGACTATACCATGAGAATGGATTGAAGAAAGAAGTAGCATGAGGCTTTTCTGCAGACTTTGTATATGAATATGCAGAAGCCATGACAAAGAGGTTAAAATTTTGTCTGTTGTTTACGTGACGTTAATCAGTCTAGTAGAATGGGATTGGGAGGAACAGGTGCAAAGTTGTGGACATCGATGCCTTGGGCTAGGAGGACATCATGCTGATGGGAAGGAACTAGCCGATGGAGTAAATCTGGTCGTACGAATAATTCTATCAAGATTGAGAGAAAGGTCGCAAAATGCTAGCGTATCTTACCTTGAGCGGTAAAGTTGAAGAGGGGAGGTAATTCTCGGCCATCGAGCATATGACAGTCTGGACTTCGAAGTTCGTCGAAGAATGGATGGACCATAGCTTCGGCTGCGGTCAGGCGGGAGGATGGTGTATATTGTAAGAGTTTGGGGATTAGGTCGATGGCTTCTGGTGGGGTATGGGAGCGGAATACCTAAAAGGAAATGTGACATTTAGTCAATCTGTTCTGTTCACTCATCGCTCGGGCTTACTTTGGCAAAAGGACACGGCCGGATTTGCGGGAATCGATGTTCCATATAGTTTGGGTTCATGGTTCGTATCTGTTCCTTTGAGGGTGTTCCTAGGACCTTGATGATCTCTACGAGTTGATCGATTCCACTTTCTCCGGGGAATAAGGGTTGACCGAGCATCAGCTCTGCCATCACACATCCAGCGGACCAGATATCAATACTTGTGGTGTAATTCGTGGCCCCAAAGATCAACTCTGGAGCACGATAGTACCGAGAGCAGATGTAAGATACATTGGGCTCACCAGCGACGAGGACTTTGGCACTAAATGTCGAGCGTTTCTGTTTCAGCATTCGGCATCATCACGCACAGGACAGGCACCTACCTTCCAAAATCACACAGCTTCAGGATGCCTCGTACCGGATTCAAGAGCAAGTTTTGTGGTTTGATATCGCGATGACATACACCGAGTGCGTGGATATAGTTCAATGAACGGAATAACTGATACATGTATAATTTGATGAGATGCATGGGCATCAGCTGCTTCTGCCGGGTATAGTGCCTATTGGCTCGATAGACGGTCTCGGGTATATATTCTAGCACGAGATTGAGATAGACTTCGTCCTTCTGTTTGAACATAGAAACCCTCGTTAGCGTTGCAATGAAGGCGCCGTCAATGCCATACCTTAGAGTCGCCTTTGCTGTAAAAGAATGACTGTAAACGGACGACATTGGCATGGGATAGCATCCGCATGATCTGCAGTTCCCGATTCTAACCTTGTGTTAACCTCGACCTTCTCACCATATGACGTACTTGCCTTGAATCGTCGGTCTTGTAACACTTTCTTGATGGCCACTTCATCGCCCACCTTTACCAACGAATCTACAGCGTTCTGTTGTACTTCACGTTCTGCTGAGAGTACCTCCAGTACCTTTGCCTGGTAGACGACACCAAATGAGCCGGTCCCAATGACTTTTGTGTTGGCGTATGTCAACTGAATATCGCGGCCTGTTTGGCCGTCTTTTGCAGCCACTTTGATAGACCGCAGTGTATCTAACATATCATTCAGTCAGCCACAGATGATAGACGAGAGACTCTTACTTACCATCCCTAACACTTTCCATGGTGCCGAACACGAGATAAGTGCAATTGTGGAACCAGTGTGGGGTATTTTGAGAGTGTTTAGTAATGATGTTCTGCGCATGTTGACAGCCTTGGATGTTATATTTCCAGGCATTGAGCTTGCTAGAGACTCGAGAATAGCTACTGAGTACTCTGGGCGGATTGTGTCCGCTCACGGATTCCCCTTCCGCGATCGTCGCACACTCGACCAAACCGTCTTGTGAGACCATAAAACGGGGTCCAGTTGGGACCCTGTGTGTTACTTTTCGCTTTTACTTCAGCATGACCAGCGCTCAGCCGATTGCCGGTGTGAGCTGCTGGAGCTGTCGGTCACTGAAGCGGCGGTGTGACAAGAAGCGGCCAGAGTGTGGTTCGTGTGTCCGTTATCGCAAGACATGCACCTACGTGCCACCTCCCAAGCAGATGGCAGAAGTGAACCACCAGCTGAGTGATCTCGTTCAACGTCTTGATATTCTTGATGAGAAGATTGGAATGGTTCGGGACAGGACCATGAGCCTTCTGCTCGAGGCATCGGGAGAGGAAGATATACCAGACTTGTATCCCGATTATACCAGTGATAGCGATGACAGCACTCAGGAAAACACTCCTGCGTTTGACATACCCAAGGAGCAGTCAAAGGCAGTTGTCACCCAATTGCGACCACTAGATGAATCCTTTATACCTCATCCGCAAGCATTTCACATCACTCACAACGAGCAAGGACTATCGATCGACCTCAATCTGGGACATATGAAGGACTTTAATCGCTTTCTGGAGTCTTTGGCCAAAACTTCAGGAGACAGAGATGAAAAGGCAAGATACGAAGACAAGGAAGAAGTGACGGTCAAGGTGGATGCACAGTTGCTTATTCATTCGCTCAAAGACAGACTACAAGAAAGCAACCGGCGAAACGAATTGGATCATTTTGTTCACTACCTCTACAAACGGCCGGTGGGTCTCGAAGGACCTCAAGAGCTTTCGGGAATCTCGGATGCTAGGTCCGTGCTCAGATTGTGCCTCGACGCCCACTTTCATTGCCCAGGTGCACAATATCCATTTATCAGCGAATGCAAGGTATATGGTCTACTAAACAGCCTAGGAGATGTTATGGACAATTTCTGTTTGGTGAGCTTGGGCGCAGCGAATGCTCGTCATGCCTTTTCTCTCCACGCGACCCTGTCCAATCGGGACAAGGCATCTCCGACACCCCGTGCGATTGCATATTACATGTACAGATGTGCCCAAAAGTTGTTTCGAGATGTCTTTGACCAGCCTGAACTGCTTACAGTGGCAGGTCTCCTTCTGATGGACAGATACGAAAACTTTTTTCCTGACAAGTCTTCCGACAATCATCTTTACCATCGGCTCGCTGTTCGCATGGCCCACGCTATTCCCGACTTTTTCGGCTTCACCAAGATAACGAAATCCGACCCGGAAGATGTACATGAGACCAAACGCGATCGCCTACGACTTGCGCTCTACCTGTGGGTTCGCGACAGTGTCATATGGGGTAGGGATACCAGCCATCCGGTATTGGCAACAGTTTGTCCAGGGTACAGGTGGACTGAACACTTGTATAATGGTCCAGAGGATCGCCTTTCTTGGATCTTCTTTGATCGGGTGGTTCGGATTGCCCATTTGGCTCTACAATTCGCTCAAGACATGTTCAAATTCCGCGGCAACTTACCGGTGCCACGTATGCTCTTCTTCCTGCGCTGCCTTGATGACTGGTATGATTCGCAACCAGATCAATTCAAACTCGGGGATGAGTATAGGAACAAGAATGCAGCGCTTGGGCCATCAACACCACAAGAGATGATGGCCAAATTCAATCGTCGATTATACCCTCACAAGCTGTTGCAACAAGCGATGTACATGCAAGGTATCTACTGGAGTATGAAATTCGCCCTTGCGAGGTCGTTCTTCCCCATACAGGGGATTGATGCGTCAACACCATCCTTGCACCGTCAGTCCTTCGCCAATTGCTACCATTACGTCAAGCAACTCTATCAATTGTTGTGGACGGTGGTGGTGTACGGTATCCATGAACTAGACGAGACGTCCATGTGCAACTTTTTTGAGGCAGCATCTAGGTGCCTTCGCGATATTGTCTCCAACCCACGGAACTGGGAACCTGTGTTGGTTCAGAACGCTCATCAATGGCTCTGTTTCGAGCGGGATGCCGTCAAGCAAAGCATCAATTACAAGGTTGGCTTCGAAAACTGGCATGCTTATTACGACGATCTGAACCGATTCTTGGAAGAGTATGAAGCTGGAGCGGGCAATTGCCCATTGTACACAATCTCCTGATCTCGATGTTATACAATACCTTGTACCATATCTTAGACGTGGATAAATTTCTTTTTCGATGGGCAGCGATCTGGTCCGCAAACTACAAGCCATTGTGTCTCTCTCAGTTGGTGCGAGCTAAATGCAATGTTGAAGAAGGTTGGACGTGAATCAACAGGTCCACTCTGCAAACGTATCTGAAACAAAGTTTCAAAATGATGCATTCACCGGGAGTCGAACCCGGGCCTCCCGCTTGGGAAGCGGGAATTCTACCGCTGAACTATGAATGCTTGCCAGAAAGAGATTTTCCAAGAAACGATTAAGTTCGGAATATTCTAGGAGATTGCCTTTTTGGGAAGGTGGAACACTTTTTCTACTGTTGAGTCAGGGACTTTCAGACAGCTCATGACGTCCGTTCCGTGGGGTTCGGATCATGCAGGCGCTTCTTCGTCGCCAAAACCCTTTAAGGTACCACTGGTCATCTCTAATGCTGCCTCGACTTGGCCCGTCCGGCCTACCATTCAGCAACGTCAAAAGGCACGAGATGCCACCGCTATTGGTGCACCCACCGCCATTGCTCGAAGTCTCATACTACAGAGTTTTCAACTGTTTTACAGGGCGCCCGTGAAGGTAAGAGTTTTACGCCCAATAGTGGTCTGACCCAAGCTGATAAAGGACCCCACAGTTGTTCCGGCCGTTAAGAGTAGACTATCTAGCTGTAGCTCGAGCAATCATGCCAGTCAATACCACAAACAAGCGATTTTCATTGCGCTACTCGTCCCTAGGTGTTCTCACATATGCCATCAAGGCTAAGGGTTGGTCCTTTGTCCCCAAGCAAATATTACCGCCTTTGGTCGCCAACACCCTTATCGGAACTATCCTCTACACGACCTATATTGTTAGTCTACCCATCTTTCACCCGCCATCATCCATCAGCCATCACCGAACATTTCCACCTCCCCCATTCACAGCCACGTTCGCCGCCGGTTGCGTCGCCGGTGCAGCTCAATCGGTCTTGGCCACTCCCATAGACTCGTTAAAGGCACGATTTGAGATCAATGATCTCCTTGAAGGCAAACACAAAAGCATGTGGAGCTATGCCTGGCGCACACTGCGAGAGCTGGGCTGGACCAATGCCTATCGTGGATTCTCTCTAGTCATTCTTCGGGTATGTAGAGTAAAGGGACCTATGGGTTTGGCATCTCATGCTCGCTGTAGGATTCACTTGCTTGTGGGCTCTTCTTTTCAACCTTTGAATGGGTAAAGCAGCAAGGCTATTACCATTTCCTCACAGAAGCTTACGACATGCACATCCGTCGGGAAGAGGACTTGGAAGGCGTCACGCCAGTCGAGCAACCTATACCCCGCCAGCCATGGCACCACGATCCACGCGCTGTAGCTATCGCAGAGAAAGCTCAGCACCGAGACAAGCCTCCGTACGTTCTCGAACCTTTCTTTATCATCATTGCCGGTGCTTCAGCTGCTGTGGTATGTGTTTGCTATTCTGACATTTGTTGATAGAGGCTTGCTCAAACTTTCGCCGTTAGGCCTATCAATTAGTCGATTATCCCTTTGCGAAAATCCACAACATCTTCTACATTCGCGAGGCAGAATCTGAGTATGCCAATCCCAAGAGTTGGAAGGCTACCCGACATCTATACCATGAAACGCTTCGAGCTGTAAAACTTCAAGTGCAGCGACAAGCAGGGGGCCAATGGCTCAAGTGGCTATACAGTGGGTTTGGTGCGACCGTCCTGAATGTTGTGCCCGCGACAAGTCTAGGTTTTCTGGTGTTTGAGTTCTTTAAGCGTGAATTGGATAGAACATAGACGTTTGCGCGCCAAAGCCTTTTTTCATTGCTGCCATGTTATCGGCACGGCGGAGGCGATACTATGTCTGGGTGGGGGTCGTTGGTAGCATACTGATAGTATTGCAACTACTGTACGGTGGAAGCCGGCAGGAGTGGGTTGCTTCAATGCAAGCCGCCGAGCTACACCATCGCTCTCCATCAGACCCATCCATCACATCTCAACGAGTGCAAGAATTGCTAGCACAAGATGGAGGCAAGTGGAACAACAACCTTCCTAAGCGCAGAGTCCCGCACATATCGCCAACCGACAAGTTTCTCGCCTATCTTCCTCACTCTGGCTTTCATAACCAACGGATCGAGCTCGAAAACGCCTTGCTCCTCGCTAATTATCTCGACCGCATACTCTTGCTCCCCGATATCTTTCTCGGTCCAGCAATGCCATGGCTCAAGTTCGACAAGCTCTATGAAAGGCTGCTACTACAGACCAAGAGGGGCTTAGAACACTGCTTCAACATCCCCTCCGATTCTCCACTACCAACCGAATGCCTTAATTTCTTCACATGGACGACCCTTCCATGGTCTTTTCTTTACGATCTTGACGCTCTAAGGTCCAAGATACGGATAATACCACGAGACGATGTCAGCGATGAATGGATGTATGCGAACCTGGGTATCACCGAAGGAAATGTGGAATATCTGCGCGACGTAACTCCTTTCGATTTCCGTGTCTTTGATGATCCGACATCAACAACATTAATAGGCAAATACAAGGAGCGTGTCGATTTACAGTTCCTGCAACAGAAACAAGCGCGGGTGCTCCAGTTCGGCTCACTGTTTGGCACTAACCGGGTATTGGCGCAAACTCCCGAACATAATGATTTGCTAAAGTTCATTCGTGAAACGATGATCTTCAATAATCCGGTGCTTTTGAATATTGCGGACAAGATTGCGGAGCTCCTTGGTGGCAATGGAACTTATCTCGGTGTCCATTTGCGTGTTGGAGATGGCAATTTCGCTGTGGACGCCAACATTAATGTCGATGATATCTATCATACTCTTGTGGACCAGATCACTGACCTCTCCGCTGACGAGATAGATTTCTGGGAAGGTGGCACGCACAACCGAGATCGACAAAAGAATCTCGAATACGAGGTCAAACGTATACAGAGGCAGACTATTCCCGGATTCGGTGGTATCGTCAATCCTGAGACGGCAACTGCCGCGCAGGGCAAGGGACTCGAAAAGCGCGCGCCACTAACAACGGATCGTAGTCTACAACTTGTTCCTCGTCCCGACAACACCGAACAATGTCTCGGACCGTTTAATGACAGAACCAAGAAATTCACCACGCGGATATATATCGGCACGGACGCTCCTAGACCGCGAAAAAATCCTTTACTCTTCAAATTTTTCAACACATTTCCCTGCATATTCACCCTGGATGACTTCTTTGACGAGCTGGAGCCATTGAATTATCTTGTCAATGAGGTAGACAAGGTGCCGCTGGAATCGAGTCTTATACCGCTTGTGGATGCCATGGTCGCTGCCAAAGGTTTTGCGTTCTTAGGAACGCCTGCTTCAACGTTCTCAACATATATCGAGCGACAGTTGTGGCCAATCTATTCCGGTACTGGCATTAAGGAAGTGGGCGTCAAAAAGCCGCAAATGAATTAGGAGACGTGTATATTATCCAGCTAAATGATGCAACTATAGATCTCCGCCATTTTAGCTCTCTAGCAGTCATTAATGATGTGTATGCCTATGTTACTGATATGGTACACAACATCTACAATAGATACAGCAGGCTTTGCTATGATCTGCCATGCCGTCGTGGGGTATAACTATTCGCATTTGCAATCTTGGCCTCCATTTCTGGGAAGACGGCAATCACAATTTCATCGAATATGGTATAAATGAGGTGTTGATTGAGATGCTTATTTTGAAACACTGTAAAGATGCGTCGGGCGCCCCTACGCGCATTGTGTTTCCCTACAAAGCTACCGATCATGTCTTACAAAGCGTTAGCTAGTTCGAAACAAGCAGATGGTTCGCTCTTACCAGGAAGCCATGTAAGCAGGCGTCGATTAGCGAGTTCCTTTGAAATCTGCTTGTCTTGCGGAGATTTAGGTTGCTTTGATGATGCCAGAACACCGTTCGGCCACATGGCATCCGAGACTTTACCTATCAACGGGGCAATGTAATCGTCCGTATGATATGCTCTGACACTGTCACGAAGTCGGCTGCAATCTGTTTGTGAGATGGACCTCAGTTGCTGTCTATGTTAACTTACCGTTCAATTGTGCCACCCAAAATTTGTTGGAGAATTATGACAACCGCCTGTCTCCGCAGCCAATTATTACGTTCTTTGAGCTCGAAAATTTCAATAAAGAGATCGCATAGAGGCTCCGTGAACGGCGTCAACGCTTCGTTGGGCAAAGGTTTGAACCCGTCGTTCTCTCCCAAGCCTGAGAAAGGATCATTGGGGTTCAGGCCAAGATTCAGTGAGGCAGCCGCGGCTGCCACAGCTGACGCTACTGATTCGGATGCAGATATTCGTCCTGAAACGCTTTCACCTTGCGGGAAAGCGATGTCGTCGTCGACGGCGAACTGGAGGACCTGCTGACCTAGCCTTTGCGTTATGATATCTAACATGGATTCGCCGGCTGCCAAATCGTCGATTCCTTCGGCTACAGCCTTGTAAATGTGCTTCATGAAGCTACCTGTAGTCGTTTGCGGTAAAGATGGTTTTGGTGATGGTGTAGATCGACCGAGACCGGTCGAGTCTGGCGAATTGCTTCGAATAGAAGATGTAAAAGAAGCGCGGCTATCCAACGGATCTCTAGCTGGAGGTGATGAGGCTTGGACCGGTGTACTTGGGCGGGATTTGCGTGAAAGATGGAAATTATCGACCAGACTTTTGCCAACAAAAGGTAGATAGACAGTTTGCTGGGATAGGAACGCCTTCAAGTCTTCGCTATGACAAATATCGGGATGATTGACCAACGCTTGCAAGTATTTCTCCAATGCTATTCTTCGACTTTCCACAAAGCTCCTCTGGAGTCCCATGAGAGTGGCTCGCTTGCCTGGAAATTCGAACTGTCTCACGATCGGATACCGCTCTTTCAAGTGTTGATGAAGGGCCCAAAACTCGCTATATCGCCTTGGTACAACCCAACCGGACGCATAATTTCCATCCGGTGCCAACTGGTGAACCTCGATGACGTAAAGGGTGTATTCCTTGTTTCCTTCGTGAGCTATAGTGCAGCTTGGAACCTCTATAGTGGAACGACCCTGTGATTCACATTAGTCAGAACCATGCCTACGCTTGCACATATCCTCAGCTTACCGGAATAAGCGTGTTCTCATTCTCTTGCAATTCGTATTGGCTCTTTTGATATTCCATTTGTTGCAGTTCGCGACGGAGAGCACTGCTACTCTTTTGTAGGATGCGCAATTCGTTATCCCTTCCTACCTGCTTTT